AGAGAAAAATAGAGGGCATAAAGGTGTTCGGTTTTGTATCAATAGAGGACAGAGGACAACTGGACCGTCCTCTATGATGGCCACCCTAGTGTGCATGTATGCACATGTCTGTGCAAGTGTGTGCAAGTGTGCACACGTCTGTGCATACATGCATGTGTCCGTGAATGTGTGTTGCCTCTCTCGGGTGGGGGGGAGGGGGAAGCAGGGGCGCGGCTCTGGCACAGCAAGCACTGCATTTCTGTGGTTCCCAACCAAAATTGCAGGGAGTCCCGTGGCCGAGCCCGGCGGCGCTTGCTCTGCCCACTGCTATTCCCGTGTGGCTGGCCCCAGGCGCTGCTCCCCCCAGCCGGGCGGGGGGATGCCTCCTGGGCCCAGCGCTAGGTGGCTCAGCACCCAGCAACTCCCCCAGTGAGCAGCGGAGACTCACCTGAGGGCTGGGGACTGATGCCTTGGAGGTGCTGTGCAGCATGTGGACACTAAGGGGTGCTCAGGGCTGGGCCCAAGACAGGAGGGCCAGGTAGAGAGCAGCAACACAGTGCGGCTGCTACCCACAGGACACTGCTGCCGGGAAGCTCACAGCCCTCAAATTCCAGTGGGCATTTGCAGGACACTGCTGTAGGGAAGCTCGCAGCACTTGGATCCATTCACTGCTGGGATCACACAAGCATTGGCTGAGCCGTGGGCAGAAGTGAACCCCTGCTTGCGGCCAGGACAGCCCCCCTGGTCCTCTAGGGGCTTGGTAGGGGTCTGCCACCTCTAGGGCAACTCCCCACATCTTTCAGCCCTGTGCACACAAGTAGCCCCATCTGTCTTCACCCTTTTACCCCAGCCACCCACCACGCAGGGGCCCCTAAAGCTCCTGGCTCTGGGGTGGGCTCTGGGGCCGCAGCTAACAGCAGGGGTTGCATTGATTTGAGGGGCTGAGAGGTTGCGGGGAGGGGAGAAGTTTGTGGTGTGACGTTCTCCCCCCATCTGAACCCCCCCTGCCCCTGTCTAGGTGGGCATACGCTGCTGGAGTCTGCATCCCCCAGGTCCCCGCTGGGGCCCCACTCTCCCATGCAGGGTGGAAGTGACTGGGCTGCCAGTGCGGGAAGGTCTCGCAAGGCTAAGGCAGTGATAAATGGCCGTGGCTGGGCTGGGCCGGGCTCCCAGACGGCGGGCAGGAGGCCCCATGTCCATCCTGCCTTGCTTGGCTGGAGGCTGTAGCTGAGCCCGGCAGCGCATCGCTGACGCTGGGAGCTGGCTCGAGGCAGGTCAGGGCTGCAGGCCGCAGGCAGGCAGGAGCGCACGCGGCTGCCCAGGGCGCCGGCCCCACGTCCCTGTAACAATTTCCGATCCGGCTGCCTGAGTCAATCCACCAGGAGCAGCGGCTTCCTGGAACCTTCTCCCGTATCCGAAACCACAGGAGAGGGCTCCCGCCGCCAACCGGGGAGTGATCAAACCCAGATGGGACGTGCGCGCACACACACACACACGTATGAACAGGCATGCAGATACACACATGCGTATGCACAGCCCTGCAGGCACACGCACACATAGGTATAGGTGTGCAGAGACACCCCCCCATATATGCACATGCCCACATACACGCAGACACATATGGGTCGGGTGCTGAGCTGGCGGCCCATCATGGTTCTAGGGGGCGTTATATCGTATGGACCAGGGGGTGCCTTGGTGTGATGCTCTCCCCTCTGGTCAGCACAAAGCTGATACCCCAGCTGGGTGCTACAGTCAGGGGGTGAACCCAGGTGTCCCGGTCAGTAGCCTCCCAGCACCCTCCATTGGACACATGGCGCTTCCCAGCCCTGCCTGTTGCGTGGTGGGTGCTGGATGCGCCTGAGCCGTGTTCTCCCCCAGAGCAGGCTGCAGTGGAGGAACAAAAATAATAATAGCAGTGACACCTATAAAGTGCCTGCAGGGCCCCTACCAGATGGGGTCTTGGGTGCTTGGAGCTATATATGCACCCCGGGAGAGGAAGCCTTGCCTCCCCTTCCCCACCCCCAGGGCTGGGCCCAGGGATGGGGTCTCTCCTTGCTCCCTGCCCCGGGCTCACACTTTCCCAGTACACAACAGCTGGCTGCTGGGTGCTTCCCCAGCCAGCGGGCTCTGGCACAGGGAAGGCATTGCTGCCATTCCTCTTCCCTGACACAGCCCCACGCTCCTGGGGTTTGCCTCTCTGACAGCCCTCAGCCTCGTGCTGGCTGTTGCCTGTGGATGCCCGAGCCAGCCCAGCCTGGAGCCTGCTCACTAATCAGCTCTGTGGAGGGGCAGAGGACATATGAACATGGCTGTGCTGCTTCTGGTCTTGGGGTCAGGGGTGGCTCTGGGATCCCTCCAGCCCCTGCGTCCCCTCACAGACCAGCAGGACGCTGCCTCACGCTGATGCAGGAGCCGTTTTCCAGTTCAAGGCCAGGGCCCCAATTCAGGGGGTTACTGGGGACAGCCCCGGGATGGTCCAGGCAAACCAGGACAGCAGGTCACTTTGTACCCTACTGGCAGGGGAGCTCAGAAGTGTGACTGAGCACCTGGGTCAGGACAGCTGCAGTGTGGATGACTCGCTGACCAAGTCACAGCCCTGCCCTGTGCCTCAGTTTCCCCTTAGCAGTACCAACCTAGATCCTGGGATGGTAAGTGCCAGAGGAGGGCAGAGCAGGACTGAAGTCCCAAGCCTCATGGTTACCTGGGCAGAAAGATGGGCAGGTTGACGGAAAGAGGGAGAGAGCACAACAGCACAGATCTGGTGGGGACAAGGCGGCTATGGAGGAAGTCTCCCACTAGATGGCAGCAGGAGCCTGTTTTCGGGGGGCTGCCACACCCCACCCCCTCCAGCTGCATTATTGCCTAGATCAGTGGCTCTCAACCTTTTTTTGTACTAGGACCCATTTGTAAACATGGACGGCCGGTCCTGACACGGTGCCCCTCACTCCCGACCCACTGCCCCAGCCCCCAGGCTGCAGCCCCGCAGTGTGTGGGGCAGGGGGGGCCCAAGCAGCCCCTCGCAGGCTGAAACTCTGCCAGCCTGCAAGGGAAAAGTCACCGTTTCCCACGGTTTTTTCCTTTAAAGGAGAATCCATTTTTAAAGTTTGCTCATGACCCTTTCATATATTCTTGCAACCCGCTTTAGGGTCACAACCCACGGGTTGAGAAACGCTGGCCTAGATACCACAGACGCAGCAGCCCGGGCCTGGGCCCGTTGCCAGCTGTCAGCCCAGACCCTGGCTTCCCGCAGCCTGGGTTTGGCACGAGCCCTCCTTCGCGCAGCTTTGCTGCCAGGGGACTTGAACACGTGGGTCCCTGGCTGGGTTTGGGGCAGCTATAAGCTGTTGCCCCCAACAGAGAGCCCCATGCCCTACCCCAGAAACTGGAAGTGAAACTGGCCAGGCCGGTTTGGCCTTCCCAGGACAGGAAGTGCAAGCGTGCTTTGAGTCACAAGAATTTGGAGTATTATTATAATGCCGGATGGGCAGCAATCCATGCCCATCTGTCTGTCCAGCCATCCACTTCTATCTATCTATCTATCTACCCACCCCTGTTTTCTTTCCCCAAGCAACCTGTGCTTTGCTTTACCTGACATCAAGGGCAACAGGACTGTTTAGGTTCACATAAAGGTCCAGATTTTTCAACTCCTCTTCATCTGATTTTGTCCTGCAAAACAGGCCCACCCCGTCAGCCATGCTCCTTTCTCATCCTTACTGCCAGAAGGGCAGCCTCCAGGGCTCGCTTTGAATGGGTCCCCAGCATCAGGGTCTCCATGGGAAGTGCCAAGCCTCCTGGCCCCTCCATCCCAGCTGCATGATAGGCCAGCTGTTGCCAGATACGGGTCCCCCATCCTCTGAATATCAGGCCCTTTGAAAGTGTCTCTAGTCAGACATTCAAAATCTCTAGTCTCTGGTTGAGATCTAGTCTTGGTATGGGATGGTTGGGGATGTGAGTGTGTCCACGTCGCACTACCCCAGCGTGCAGGGAGCACTTGTCGCTCCCCAGGAGACCCCTTCCTCACCCCTGCAGCTCAGAGGGGAGACCTGTGCGTGCAGGTGCGGGGAGTTTGCCCTGTAGCCGCCCCTAGTGTCCCCACTGTGCGGAGGCCTCTGTGCTCCCATCTGGCACGTCTCCCCAGGGCAAGGTCCACCCTGCAAACCCTTTATTGCTGAGCGGTTCTTGGCACAGCTGCAGGCTCCGGAGATGCAGGGCTGAAGGAGGAGCCCATCCTTGGCGCCACGTTGGACTCAGGATGGGAACTATCAATTCATCTGCGCTCCTGCCCCGACGCAGGGGCAGAGCCATCCATCTCACAAGGGCTGAGCCAGAGGCAAGTCCCAGGCCTCTCCTGCTTTTGAAGTGCATGTCTGATGTGGAGATAGCACCAGCTCAGGCTGGGGCAGAGGAAGGATGAAACAGAGGAGGCTGGAGATCAAAGGCAGGGGAGAGATGGGCCTGGAATCCGGGGAGCGGATGAGGAAGGGCCGGGGGCCAAAACAGCTGTCTCTGGTTTCAAGGGGAAACATGTTCAAGGGTTTGGCGAGGCCTAGAGAGGCTGCAGCACCTGAGCCCCTTTCCCAGCGCCCTCCAACCATCGCTGCTTCTTGGTACATGGGAGCCCTTCCCAAGATGCCAGGCACTGCCCAGACCTAGCTCCAGAGCCTCCAAGGCATCAAGGTGCCCAAGTCCCTTGGGTGTCCATGGGAACGAGGCACTTAAAACTTGCAGGGTCTGGTCCAAGGAGCTCAGAGGGCCTCCAAGGGTCCAGATGCCCCACCAAAGACCTGAGCCCCTGTGGGCTGCTGCCTCCCAGCTCCGCGCCTGTCCTGCTGCCAACTGAAGGGTAAGGAACATCTGAAGATTAAACCCCATCACATGCACAAGTGCCCATGAAGGCCTATGAAGAAGGGTGGATTGCACCTGTCATGCCCTGCACCTATCTTCAAAAGCTCCAGGAATCCCAGGACCAGCCCCTGACCCAGTCTAGATGAGCCCTGTCTGCCTGGGAAACCTTCATTCAGCCTCAGCCTCAGGATTGTGCAGTGGGTTGGGATTTCCCACACCGGCAGGGAACAGAGCACAGCTTCTGCCACCACCCAGCAGCCGGCACAAGGTACATGCAGACCCTCTGCCCACCGCTGCCCCCCCAGGTGCTTGCTGCCTTTCTGGGTGCCCTGCTGGTGCTGCTGGTGGCCAGAGTGGGTATGCACGTGTCCTTGCAGCTCCACTGTGGTGGCTGCCATGTCACTTGTTTCCTATGGCTGCTCCTGCCCGAGGGGTGCTTGCAGGGAATGAGCCATGCGGTCTCAGCCCAGTGCTGGGGGTCTGGGAGCAGCTCAGCAGAGGGGCTGAGGACCTGGTGCATCCTACAGACTGATCAGGGAAGGGACATGGGGGCTACATTGGGTCACACGGGCACGATCAGAGGCAGGAGCTTGCTGCCTCTGTGCTGGGGAGTCTGCAGGGCTGCCGACAGGCACTGCATACAAGTATGGCAGGGGCATCAAATGGACATGCACAAGTGCCCATGGAGGCCTATGAAGAAGGGTGGATTGCAAATGGACAGCCTGGGGGCAAGATACAGCCTGTGGAGCCCTGGCATCCAGCCCCCAGTGCTGCAGGTCTGAGTGACCCACACAGGGCCACAGGCAAGATCCAGGTCACGTGCCATACGTGGCGCCTGCCCCAGCAGCTCTGGGACTACTGCCTGCTCCAGCCAGTCTGGGACCCCCATGAGCAGCATAGGTCCCAGGCAGGTGGGGGCAGGTGCCGGATCCGGTATGCTAGGCAAGGGGGTGGGGAGGAGAGCTATGGGCCTGATCCGACCCCATGCCACTCCTCCAACCCCCTGTGGCACCCCCGGCATAGGGCAGAGGGAGCCTGTCCCGGTGGAAGCACTGCCAGGGGGCAGCCAGCAGGGGACAGGACTCCTGGGTTGTATTCCCAGCTCTGGGATGGGGGGTGCCATCTCATTTACGGGGTGGGGACACTGAATACTCGGACTCCTGGGTTTTGTTCACAGTTCTACCGTGGGAGGGTCTAATATTTATTGGTGGCGGTCGGGGGGAAGCAGACATCAGGACTCCTGGGTTCTCTTCCTGGCTCTGTCCCTGCCTTGTTTAAAGCAACCTTCGCCCCCGTCTCACTCCTCTCCTCGGGATCTGGCTTGTTGCCTCTGGCTCTGATTCTCTCTAGCACAGCGTTGGGGGGGGCTGGAACAGGGGCAGGGAGGGAGCCTGTGGGGGGGCCTAGGAGGGAGGAAGGGTTAGCTGAGGGCGAGGGCTCCACACCCATAGGCTGCAGAAGCAGAAAAGGCTGCAGGAAGGCTGGGGCTCCCCCCCTCCCTGCCTGGCTTGGCTGGCCAGGGCCCAGCAGCTGCCGGCAGCCAGCTCACCCCAGCCAGGGCCCTCTCTGAACAGCTCCTGGCTCATTCACAGGCTGCAGGGCTCTGCCATGGACCAGCAGCAGGGCAGGCTGCAGATCAGCTTGGAGGGAGGGTGGGCTAGTGGTTAGCGCCTGGGATTCAGGACTCCCGGGTTCACCTCTCAGCACTGGGAAGGGCCGCTGGATCAGTGGCGGGGGTCGCGGGCATAGACATGACCCCCTGCCACCCACCCTCCTGCACAGACATGGACCAGTCAGTGATGGGGACAGGGTGGCCTGGATCCTGCTGCGGGGGGAGACTGAGAGTGAGGACTCCTGTGTTTTCTCAGCTCCAGGGGAGGCGAGGTAGGGAGCTGCTGACCCTCTGTGTGCCTCAGTTTCCCTTCTGTTGCAGAGGAGGAGGAGGGCCCTGCTGAGGTCAACCCAGAGTAGCAGAGCCCGAGGAATGGCACCAGTGCTGGCTCCTGCCTAGCAAAGAGCCCAGCTGGCCCATCCTCCAGCCCAGCCCAGCCCAGAGGCCGGCCCAGGAGGGAGGGGATGGACTGGCTCCACATGGCTTTGTTGTCTGCCTTTGTGGCAACCCATTGCGCTGGGATTTAAAGGGACAGGCTGGATTTTCTAAGCCTGGGGAGGCAGGTGGCTCCCTCCCAGGGGTGGGGGAGGGAACCTGCCAGTCTCTGCCCCTGCGCTGCATTTGCTAATGGGGATGATGCTGCAGATCAGCTATAAAAATAGAACCCCCTCCCTGCCAGGCTTGACAGCCACAGTGCTGTGCAGGAGGGGTCAGCGGCATTGCCCCCCTTCTCAGACAGGTAAACTAAGGCAAGGACTTGTCCGAGATCACCTGGGAATAGGATCCAGGCCACCCTGTCCCCATCACTGACTGGTCCATATCTGTGCAGGAGGGTGGGTGGTGGTCATGTCTATGGCACAGACCTTTGCAGGCAGAGCTGGTCAGTCAGGGAGGGCAGGAGGCATGATCAGGAGGGCAAAAGAGGAGTGAGGTGCCATGTCAGTGATGGGCCAGGACTTCCCCCCCCCTCACTGTTAGCTATGGTGCCTGCAGCAGGCAAGACCCAGGTGACTTTCCCGTGTTCCACAGATGGGGGAAACTGAGGCACAGACGTGCCATGAGCTCCCCAAGCCATGCCACAGGGCTGGGAAGAGGCTGCTGCCTCGTGACTTCCCCTCCTACCCGGTGACTGCTGCCCTCCTTTTCTCGGCACTAATTATCTATCATGCTAATAACAGAGGATGTTATGGAAGGCAGTCAGGCCGCCCAGGACACAGCTGGTTTGAAGGATGTTATCCAGAACGATGTTGGATTTGCTGTCCAGCTAGTCAGCCTCATGGTGGTCGGCTCCAAAAGTCAAGGACCTTGGAGGAGTTCCAGATGCTCCAGCTGTGTCCCTGTTGCCGCAGACCATCAGTGTTGGCTGGGGGTGGTTTGGGGCTGGGGATGCTGTCAACACCCTGAGCTCTTGTTTGGAAGGCAGTGGCAGTCAAGCAGGCAGCATCTCTTTGCGGCGGTGGGAAAGAGCGTGGTTGAAATGTTTCTTCCCCAAAGCAGAATCCGTGCCTCACCCACCAGCCCAGGGTGGAGAGCAGCTCAGATGCCAGATTTGAACCAACACTCCCTCTGAAATGCAGAGGCTCTGGAGGGGGAGGCATGTGCTGTGCTGCTGAACTCAAGACATGCGAGAGGGACTTTTTAGGAGGAGACGTGGGAGGGTGTGTGTCTGGGGCGGGCTACGCAAGCGCATCCAGCACACACGCAGGGGGCTAGACAAGCTGACCTGCGAGCTCCCATCCAGGCCTGACTCCGGCTTGAACAAGCCTTGTGTCCTCCTGTTAAGCATGGGAGGAGCTTCCTGGAAAAGCCAGGATGGCTCCCCCATCCTTCTCCTAATCCCTCCCTCTGCCCAGGTGCTCGCAAACCTGGAGCAGAAGGCAGCTGGCAGGCTGAAACTGCAGTTCCCGTAACTCCCCCTTCGGCTCAGCTGCTCCTGGCAGCCACCTGATGTCTCTGATCTCACATGTTGATTGCAGACTTTTCCGGGCAAAGAGCATGTGGTTTTGCTTTGGGTCTGTGCAAGTATCTAGCCCTAGAGGGGCCTTCTCCTCCACGGGGGCCCTTTGATACGGCAGCCCTCTCAATAACAACACTCTTGGAGCGTTTTGCTCGGAGGGAATCCTGCTTTACAAACCCACGGCGGTTGTTTTCACGACGAAAGCTCTCCAAACCTGCCAGCCAGGATGCAGCGGGAACGAGGAGAAAAAAATGAAGCGGGTCTGTTGGAGGCAAAGGGCAGTTGCGTTGCGTGACGGCACAATTTTCCAGCTGCTGCGAGGGAAAAGAAAGGGCAACTGGGCGTTGCTCGTAAGGACGCCCGGGACGGAGGGGGATAGATCCGAGTGCAGTTCTGACCTCTGCCCTTTCCATCTCCAGCAGTCTCCAAAATCAACAGCGTGGGGCGGGGGGGTGGATTTTACTTTCCGTCTCCGCCAGGATCGTTCTGCTCCTGGCTCCGCCGCCACGAGATGCGTCCGGTCCCCACAAAACCCCGGCTCCGAACGCCTCCAAAAGTCCAGCCCCCGCATGTGTTTTGCACCCGCCCATTGCAAAATGCACTTGCAATAATCATCAGGGTGCCGCACGCCAGTGGTGCGCGCTGACCCAATCCTAGGGCCAGACGCTGGCACGAGTGAACCGAAAGGGGCCCCGAAAACGGTCGTTTAAACATTATGATGATCTCTAGCGATAGTTTAGATTTAGATTTATTTTCCAGGGCTCCAGCTATCCGGCAGGAGGCCTCGTCTGTGCAGGCCCTCGCGGGAGACCACGCCAACGTCTCGGGAGGTTTCAGGGAGCAGGGCCTGGCCCGAGGGAGGCCACGTGGCGACAGGCCCCGCTGGGCGACACGTGGTGGCAGGGCGGTGCGCGCGTGCGGTGCTTGGGCGCACGAGGGGGGCGCAGGCGCCTCCTCAAGGGCGGGGGCGGGGACTGAGCTAAAATGGCGCCGCTCCGCCACATTCCCCACCGCCTCTCCTCCCAGCGTGTAACCCACCCCCTAGACCTCCCGCCTCCTCGCGCGTCCCATTGGCCGGTTTGAGGGGGCTCGCCTCTCCCATTGGTCGGGGACCCGCAGCCTCACCAGTCACCTGGCTTCTGATTGGTCGCTGTGCACGCCGAGCTCCAATCCGGCCTGCCTTACGTCAACGGGCGTGGGCCTGCTTGACAGCTGATTGGGGAGGCTGGACGTCGATCCGATTTTCGTCCCGCCCCTCCTCGCGAGGCGCTGTCTTAGGAGCCCGCCTAAACCGCGATTCGTCGTTCCGCCTGTCAATCACTGCCTCCTTCCACGCTTCCCCCAGCCTCGCCCTTACGGGGTCTCCCTGGGAGCCCTCGTGCCCGCCGATTGGCCGCCCATCACGTCCCTCACCCTTGGGCCTCCCCCCCTCACCCCCCCCCCGCCGGGGGAGCTGCGCGGGCTTCCTATTGGTCGTCGCCTCCGTCACTCCCTCCTTCCCCCCTCCCTCATTGGGCGGAGCCGTTCAAAGGGGCGTATCTCAGGGCCGGGGATTCGGGCGGGCTTCTCCCCCTCCCTCCTAGGCTCCGCCCGCTTCCTCATTCGAAGGCCGGCTTGCCACTCGCCGCGCGTCCCGCCCCCCGAACCGCTCCGCGGCTCCTCATTGGGC